TTTCTGGAACAGCATGTGGTTTTCTAGAACAGCATAATGTCAGCTGCCATATTGCCACGCGCGTCACCGCGCGACCGCGTGCGTGGCCGAGTGGTTACCGCGCTTGACTCTCGTGCGGAAGCCCAGGGTTAGATTCCTGGGAGCGACGCGGCTTTTGTTTATACCTTCAATTTAAATTTCTGGCAAATTAGAGAACCCTAGTTGCTTGTTCGGGGTCCGAATGTTCTACGCCCCGAACCTTCTACGCCGACTGTTCCAGAAGCCCACGCGCCCTACATAAGGGGCTCCGCGTGGCGAGCCGCAGTCAGTCTCGCCCCAGCGTTCGAAGTCGGCTGCCACGCCGACTTCGACGCCCGCGACGTTCTGTTGTTTTCTTCTGTTTCCTCCTTGTTTGGGCACAAGTTCGCCCCATTGAACATATCATTTTCGTCAGTTATTCTTTGTTTTGTCACCTCGTGATTCGTGACAATATATCTTTACACTGTAGTGCACGTTTTTGTGGAGAAGTTCAAACGCTGGTCGGTAGAATAAAAAGATATCATTTTAAAGGCGCCTTCGTGGTTTGTATATGAAACGGAGCACGCCGATTTGACTAAGGAGCAGCTGAGCTGGAGAATACTTGTTCTAGGATATACGTTGTACAGCCGTTCTCAAAATCCCTATTGTCCCGAGCTGCTGGCAATATATAATGAAAGCCGATTACTTTTATGTCTTTTTTCTTTTCTATGGCCTGATTTTTATAGCTCGCTTATTCCACCCTCCTCCTTTGCAACGTCGTTCGCCTCTCACTCGATAATAATTTCCCTTCAAATGCGAGCATTGCAATGTCGAAGAGTGCGAATCTTCGCTTTCTACCGAATCGGCGAGAATTTCAAGATCAAAACCAAAGAAGCAAATATTCTATTCTTGATTGTTCTCAACTCCCCTGCAAACAAATGTTGCTCTTCGGGACGTGTAGATGACGTCCTGCTACAATCGAAACAGAACTATATAATAAAAGCAAATCACGCAACCGAGCATTTCATTGGAGAAACTGCCGGTGCATTGGCGAAGCCTACGAGAGACGAACAATACTTCTCTGTGTGTTGGGGAAAACGCACACGGTCATCGCCATGTTTAGCACATCGCCTGCGCCCGGTCTTCCGACAAACAGCGGATAGTGGACCTCACTATCATAGCCGTCCTATACAGTCCAGTCGCATTCCCCCGCACATAGTCTCGACCTCGAGAATGGGCACTATATTTAGAGAACGCGGCCTCTATCACCACATGCCATCGCTAGCATCGCCGCCGCCAATCCTCCACGGCCACGCGGAACCCAGCCAAGCAGCGTCATCTAGCGGAGAACCCGAGCAACGCGTGGGAGGCGGCGGCTTTTTTCAAAAAGCGCTCTGGTCCACACTGTCGATTCTGACCGGTTTGCGCTCTCACTAATGTTGCCCTACACTTTCCTCGTTTCTACACGCCCTTTCACCATACGTTGGAACGCGGCAGACACTACGAGCCATGGGAGCTAACTCTATCCCGCCTGAGTGTCGAGGGACCCTCGAGAAATGCGGAGCGATGCTCAGAGCCCCTGGTCACGTGGTACGTCCACACTGCTGGATTGGCTGAGATTGATCCTAGGTGACTATCGCTATCGCAACTTGAAAGCAGGTATATACCAAGTTCTTGCTCCGTCTACTTTCTCCGTCGCTTCCGGTTAGGGTACCGTCGACGGAAGGCGTCGACTCCTCGCGCGTCGGCGGTGTGCCCCAGACAGATCGCCATCGTGCTCCGGGTTTTTAGCGCCAATTTTCACGTCATCGTGAGGAGTCGGGCCGGGTTCAAGCGTCGCCATTGTGTGCTTTCTGGGCGGGGTAATGGCGGTCGCCGCCGCTCTCTCGCTTATCGGGCTTCTTTGCGCTTGTGGTTGTCTCGTCGACCGAGGGGCCCGAGGTGCCAAGTGGTCTCCTCCCGTTCCAGTGCCGCACTCCTCGACTTCGGGACGGGTTCCCGAGCCTTGACTTGAAGTGCGCCGCGCCGTACCGGTTTGCAGCCGCTCGTTTATCTCGGATGTTGTGTTGGTTTAGTGCTGCATTTTATGCGAGTTTTGTTTTGGGAGGTTGATCCTTGGGCGCGCCGCTGTGGTCATCGCACGCGCGCACTTTTGTTCCGCTGCTTTCCGTCTTGTGGAGCGTTGGTGCCATGTTATATCAGAACGACGTGAAGTTACACGCCCAACGGGGATTTGAAATCGAGAGAAAAATGTGATATCGGTCTTAATTGGGCTCATATAGTCGTTGAAGTTTTTAATATCGCGGTGCTGCTAATACAGTTCACATGCATCGTTTTATTTTTAAATTGTGCAAATCCTGTTCGAAATATAGAAAGATTGGTAACACTTCGCGCATTTGGCGGAATTGATAGTCATGATCGAGTATTGTATTCGCTACTTTATAAAAAAAATAGGTAAATTTAAAGAAAATTCAAATAAAAGAAATTTAAGATGGCTGCGAAAAGAAACTGAAGGAAAAAGATTCCTGCTGGGCTGTTGATGACAAGTGCATATTCTTGCATTGTTTATCATATCACTTATTTTTATTCCCTCAATGACCATCTTCAATGGACGCTGATATTACCTAGTCCTTCCAATTTCGTTTTTTCCTCGCAAACTATAACTACCCTTTTCCCTTAAAAGTAGATATCTGCTTCACTATCCTAGAAAAAAAAAATTGCTGTTGTCCAGAATGCATCACAATTTCACTTTCAGCGGTATCATGATTTGATCTTTTCAGAGTTTTGCATTTATATTAGCTAACGAGACTTTGATGACTCGAACGTTATACTATCATTTTTAATTGCAAGCGGTGAAGCATCGTCTTATAACAAAGACAGCTGCATTGATCTCTCCGACATCTCGCATATTTTAACAGGACAAATAAGCATAATCTGACAGGACCAGAGCGGAAGTGTAGGACCTTGCATTTTACCATAGTTCTTGTTTCGAACTCCTCGCAAATCCCTGTGATCGATGAAAATCCCGAAAAGCAGTTTGATACATTGTCAGAGAAGACTGTTTACTAATCCAAAATTAATAGTAAGTTATCCAGCCTTTCATTTAGACGGTTGAGAGTAGCGAGAAATAATTGAGGGAGGAAAAACACATGTGCAATAAGGACTCTCTATGGCTTAGCCAGTGGTGCGCATCAGAAACACAAACTCCACTGCTGTGTTGTGATGAACTTGTAACTACTTGTATGTTGTTACTTATGTGATATTTATTTCTAAAGTTCAAAATAACAAAACGAAAGCGTCATGATCAGCTTACGCCGTGAAATCTCGTTCGCAATGAAAGGGCACCATTAAGTCTTTCCCACTCCATCCAAAAATGCTTTAAGGGGCATTCAAGTGGGCTGTGAGATGGTTAATGTATGACGATAACACAATGTACGGGTCATAGGCATCCCAGAAAACCGATATTACACTCATGGGCCGCCAATTTCTCTCTTAAAAATCTAATCAAAGATAGGCCTTGGAGCAGGCACCAGGGAGCGCCGTTAGGTGGCGTTTTCAAACAATAATTTCTGTATTACTTTGACTACACTCAACGATGTGACAGATTTGTCAATATATAATGCACAACTCACCTAAAAAGAGCAACAGTACTAACGTTCGAATCTTCACGCAAGTACCGCAATTTACTATTTTGATCGGTTACATTCTATGGAGGTGGTGGCGATCCAAGAATGGCACACAAGAGGAAACAGTGCCCGTGTATTTCTGTTGCTCTTCGTTTACTAGGAGGTCTTGCCGTTTAGAACTCAACATTTTTATTGACTGAAGCCTAACAAACAATATGCTATGAAAAACAAGCTTCTACAAATACCACGCGAGTGCCCCTTTAACTGACATCAAACGCACCGTTATCAGGTGCGTGTGTCATCCCAACACGGCAGTAATATGGTGTCTTGCACACACTCAACATATATATCTAAGGGTCGACTTTCTCACAAAGCATGCGAGAAACAAATCTCTGCGATCAGTGGAATAATGTAGGCGAATAAGGAGGCATAAGAATTTATTTGCACCGCAAAACTAAAGTGTTTCTTTTTTCTTTATAATTGCACAAATGGAAAGCGTTCGTGCACAAATCACACCCTCCCGTAAAGAGGGAAGAATTTGCACGGACGGTGGAAAGGACAGTCGAGAAGGACAGGTAGCTTGTGAGAATTGGTTGTTTATGATAACGGCCATTAAGGGGACTCTAATGGTTAACCCTATTGGCTTGGCAAAGAAAGTTTATTTCGTAACGACAACTTAAATGGAGAATATTGGAGATGCACAGTGCACTCCGATGTTAGGCACGAATAAGAAAAAAAAAATATATGGAAGCAAAGCTTCACGCCCGACGGCATGCGAGCGTCACACGCTGGCAACGCATCATCAACATGAAGCTTGCGTAATCCGCAGGGTCGCTCTGTGAAGCATGGCGATTGGCCGCCCGCGCGCTGTGCGGGAAGGAAGACCCACGGGTATTCTTCGAAGTGTGCGCGACTCGCTTTATTGTTGTAATTGTCTGCTAGTACACGGATCACACCATAACAGAATGAGTCAAAATTTGAGGACTATGATTGGCTAAAATGAAGGAACAGAGAGGCGAATTGGCTGCGCATGATGAGATGCGCTTCGGTTGCATGAATACAAGCGTAGTCAATGGCGTCTAGCACATGAATTCCCTAAGCCGAAGCGGACCCTCTCCAAATCCCCGTTACCTCCCGAACTGAAAAGACACCGATGCAAACGAGATTTCTACGGCCGGCTGGCCTGGCCAAAGCTAACAAGAATGCCTTGTGTTGTATCGCGTACGTGCTCCCAGTTAATCCCATTAACAGTAGTGCACTCGGTGAGCGTGCCATGTTTTCGTTCGACGTCCGTGTCTGTGCGTGTGTGTTGCTGCTGTGTTGCTTCCTAACCATCCCCCGTAACGCAAGACCGGCATGTTTCTTGTGCCTCCGTAGGAAGACCCATCAGGGTGGGAGGCCACAGTGCTCGATCAATGAACAGGAACCTGCATGGTAAGCTGTCTTTCCTTTCAGCCCCGTCCCCAGCGGGCTGCGTTCCTTCTTGTTTTGTTTTTTTCGGTCTTGTCCTTGCTTCTTGCAATCATATGGTGTGCCGTAATTTGTTTGTTAGCTTGTTAATCGCCTTAGCGTTGCTTTCTCGCTACTTATATTTGTGCATGGATTCGGTGCTTTTTCGTCAAAGGGCTCAAAGGAAAAGTAAGAGGAAAATAAATAGCACTGGATATTAAGGAACTATACCTACAGAGTACCGTTATCGACGTCGGCGGATGTCGGGTTACGAGTGTAAACTAACATTTAAGCAAATTGATCACCCAAAATTCGCTCATCGATTTTTTTTTTTTTTGTAGCTATAATGCTTGTGCGTGCATTCAAATAAGAAACGCGCTACCCGTCTTCAAAATATGCCATAGCAGTTGTATAGAGTTTTGGCGACCGGATTGTGCCTCCAGTTTCCTACGCCACGCTGCTTATTACACTTATTTAAGACTTTAGCTGGGTCAAGATTCGAATTTGGCACAATCATTTGAAATTTATTAACTGTATCACAAGCATGCTGCAATCGAAAATACACAAAAATGAATGGTTATAATTGTGTACGACTTTTATATTGGAAGAAAATATTTTTATGATGATGACACGTTACTTGTTCGATTTTGCAGTGCACAAGCTTGCTGTGCGAAGGCAGCTGTATATAGCCTTTATATTTATTCACAATGTAGGCCATGGGGAAGTGTACTGAATAGATTTTTTGCGTTTTTTAGACTTTCGTGTTCCGTCAAGGGTCAGCAGGAATGTGCTAACTTTTTACCCATGTTTTATGTATTCTGTGTTCTCTTTATCGAGAATTCAATTAGCATTTAATAAGGCTCATTTTGACTTCTTTTTTCTCATTGTTTATGTTTCATGTGTGATGGTGGATGTCTTAGGACTACCTATTGTAAGGCGGGTTATGCGTAGCCTTTTCAGTTTCTGTTATATATTGTTTTTATTTTATCGTAACGTGTATTTTAATGCGTAACGTACTGCTCTCTTCTAGTTTGCTTTGTGTGCACCAAATAAACTCTAAAATAGTTTGTGGGCACGTAAAAATAAAGATTTATTATTATAAGATATCAGACTAAGAAATTCTGCTCTACACTATTCAGACATCATGCTGAAACTAAATGCAAAAAAACAAAAACGGCGGAAGTCCGAACCGGAAGCGACGTCACCGTCCGCGGCTGGTGCGGGTAGCGAGCCACTGCTTGCTGACAAGGGTCATTGGTCGTAGAAGAGGAGCGTTCTACTCTGCTGTCTCCTCAGGCGGGCAATATTTTCTAGCTGTGTTTCTTCTAATTTTCGTGTGGCGGACACTAGATTGCAACATCACACGAAAGCAGTGTGCAACAAAATCTAGTTGTATGTATTCTAACAACTGCGATCGCATATTTTGTCGACGGACAACAAATGTCGAATTGAAATCCTTCGGAATATTCCAAAAGCGAATGAGTGGATTTTATTCAATTACTAAGATAATTATCACTTTTTATTCCTAGCGGACACCGGCCGTGGTGGATAAAGTTATCCTTTAGAATTTGCTTTCCATATTTTCCGTCGTAGCGAAACGCATGTTAAACATATATATATATATATATACTGAGCGTCATTGAAAATCCCTAAATCAGTAATTTTCAGAAAGACTTTCAGCGCGTGAGGAGTGCAGTAGTGCGCTAAGGCCGCCATTTGTGCTAGAGGTACAAAGCTACAAGTGCAATACGGTACCCGCGCGATTTTTCTGTCTCTTATCATTAGCTCCAGCCTTGTACCTGCAGCACAAGTGATTACTTTAGCACACTACTGCGCTTCTCGCGCGCACGAAGTGTCTCAGAATTACTGATTTAATGGTTTTCAGTGACGCTTAGCAAGTTTCTAATAAGAACCATATGTCATTTCTCAATAATTGAAAATTTACATGACATATTTTGGCGAATTACTCACGAGACTGTAAAGGTTGTGCCCATCTAGAATGTCCGCCTAGCCCAAGAAACATAGAGTGATAGTGAAGGCGGCATTCACGTACCAGTAAAGATGTCTTAAAAAAATCTGTTCCAAATAGAAAATAACATCCGATATATATATATATATGGGTGGTTTCATCTCAAATCGTGCAGGCAAAAAGGGTCGAATTTTTAATTTCGATGAAAAAAATATATGTTATGGCGCCGTTTCTAAAACCGCAGTCGACACAAACCGCAAGTTCGTCGGATTTTTGGTTCTCGACTTATGAATTTTTAAAGAGGCCGCGGCGAAAAGCAGTGTTTTGCACACCCGTCGTGGGTCGGATGTTTCGCTTGATCTCCCGCCATGGATTTTCAGTCCACATTATGTTATATTTTTTGAAGCACTCTGCGGACACATTTAAAAGGCTCCAATACCATGAAATAATTTTAGGCCTTTTGCTTTTTTTCTGTAAAAATGTCAAAAACGCCTCCTCGGTCAATTGTTGACGAACTTTGACAATTAATTACTGGCGATCTACTTGGGTTACACCGATATTTTTTATGTCCACGGAGAGCCCAAATTACGTTCTTTATATTTATTATAAAATGCCTGGGCTGTATAAAATATCATTTGCGGTACGTTTACGTTAATATTATGCAAAAACCAAAAAGTACCATTTTTGAAATTGATTTTCTCAAAAAACCCATTTTTTATTTTATTGATTTTTTGTTCAAATGTAGATATGCTAGTTGTCTACACAAAAATCAAGCCTAGAAAGTGTATATATTGTTTGTATGTTTTACATTTAAGCATCAATATCGTAGAAAAACGTGTTTTTACGGCTCGAAATGGACTTGCGAATTGCGCGTCGTCACAAGCTTGGAAATAGTTTTTTCTTTTTTTCAACGTTCCCACATAAAAATGAAATACAGTATTTCCACCCTGATATATTTATTGATTATCTAAATTTTATTATAGGCGGCAAGCTACATCGGAGGAGTTCCAAAAAGAGAAAGCAACACTTCTTAACAGACCAGCAGGTGTCGTAAATTTTTAACGTGTAGGAGTCGGCAGACGTCTTATTGATTCGGGGCCCTCATTGGCCTGCATGAACGTCCCGCCCTTTCGGAGCCAGCAGATGACCACGACTTTTCGCGCTCGTTGTGTTAGATGGGACGGACCGTGACAGTAAAGCGAGCAGCGCACCCTGTGTCACGAGGAGTGAAATGTATACGATTGTGTCGTGGACGCGGCGAACAGTGACAGCCACCCAGGAGGAGTCTGTCAGAGTATTGCACAAAGGAAAGCAAAGGAATCGTTGCCTGAAAGGATGAGGACACCACGGCCTTACAATGTCGACGGTCAACAACTGTTCTGCCAGCCAAAACAACGCCGCGTGCGCGCTAAAACCGGCGGCGCGGGACAGAAATCCCGCAGTCGCACACACGAAGATGGGCCGGTTTCGTTAGGAATGTGGGGAAATTTGAAACCAGCCATCCGTGCATGCGTGAAACGATACCGCCTGTTTGCCCTAGCTTCGAGCGCCCTATCCTTACCTTGAAACGGCCGTGCTCTCTCTCTCTCTCCGGGGAGATCCGATAGCACCGAAGGGTTATCTATTAAACTTGAGGAAGAAAACGAGAAGGGAGTGTCTAAGTTTAATTATCCCCACCAACCCGCTCGTTCTGTCCTTATAAAGGGTTATCTCTTTTGGAAAGAGCAAAGCCCGGAGACTGACATTAAAACGAGCGTGTTGGTAAATATACTTGTGTTTGTATTCTGCCCGGAGACTAGTTGGGTCGAAGTCAGCCTCCTTCTCAACTATAACCGTTTGTGAAGAGTGGGCTTCTCCCGAGATGAAACGTTAGCGCCGGCTGACGTGTTCTTTTGAAAAAGGGAAGGGGAAAGAGAAAGTTTGAGTAACTGCAGAAACTACCTCGAAAGCTCCTCTCCCGATATGAAGCTTGAAGCATAGTCTCGGTTACCTTCTCGCGCATCGCCTGCTCGAATCTATTCTTCACTTTCTTTCGTACAGCCACTGTTCCGCACAGCCGTCGTGGATGTGCGTAATAGAGGGAGGAACAGATTCGAGCATCACCTGGACGCCGTCATCCTGCCAGACTTCAATGTCGTGGGACCGACTCGTGTGTGTTTCTTCGCCCCGCTAAACTTTGCTTCTCGGAAACGTTTTTTTTTTTTTTTTTTTAATGTTTTTTTATTAATTGTTTGTTAGCACTGTTCAGTTGTTGGGTTTATTTCGTCATGGCGTAGCGGCCTGGCGGTGATGTAGAGAGCCTGTTCGCACGCATTTGGTTGCGTCCCGTTTAGGGAATGCCCGGGGGAGTTGGTTTTTGTTCTTGCCATGTGCGGCTGAGTTTTCCCGTCTTTAATAATATATTGATTTTTTTTTTGTTTTACCTTTACGTGCCGTCGACTTCTTTGTCTGACTCTCCACCAGGCGTGGACCTATCGCCTTGCCACCGCTCGAACCTAATACTTTATTTTTTTTAACGCAATTTTCGTTAAGATCGGAGTTGGGCAATTTAATTCTTATTTATTTATTTTTATTTCCTACCCCTCTCCATGACACACTCTCTGTGTGTTTCGGACCGTTTCTGTGTCACCACTTTTGTGTATTACGGAAGTGAAAGGACATTCCCTGGTGACCTCTGCGATGTGCGGTGAACAAGCCCCAGTGTTTGGTTTCGTAAAGAATTGTATATAATATATCGACGATGTGGTGACTTTCTTTGTCTTAGTAATATGACAGCTAATAGCTAGTCGTGCTAGTTTACTTTGAAAGGTTTATAAATCGAAACAATACAACATCTGTGCCTTTTGGTTATTGAAAGTCTACTAGGCCTGCTGGTTTGGTTAGATATGTATCTCATGGTTCCCGCTCTTATCAAAACATACATAAATATTCAATACCACAAAATCCGTTTATAATTGATCACAAAATGCAGAAGAAAATTCAAGAAAACTTTTTCACAATTAATAAAGACGCATGGGTCGCTGTGTCTGACTTAGGTCTTGCAAAACAAAGACGTCTTTTTCCGATATTGAGGCCTAAATATAAAACATGCAAACAAAATATACACTTTCTAGGCTTGATTTTCGTGTAGACAACTATCATATCTACATTTGAACAAAAAATGAAAAAAATAAAAAATGGGTTTTTTGAGAAAATCAATTTCAAAAATGGTACTTTTTGGTTTTTGCATAATATTAACGTAAACGTACCGCAAATGATATTTTATACAGCCAGAGTATTTTATAATAAACATAAAGAGCGTGTTTTGGGCTCTCTGTGGACATAAAAAATATCGGTGTAACCCAAGTAGATCGCCAGTAATTAATTGTCAAAGTTCGTCAACAATTGACCGAGGAGGCGTTTTTGACATTTTTACAGAAAAAAAGCAAAAGGCCTAAAATTATTTCATGGTATTGGAGCCTTTTATATGTGTCCACAGAGTGCTTCAAAAAAGATAACATAATGTGGACTGAAAATCCATGGCGGGAGATCAAGCGAAACTTCCGACCTACGACGGGTGTGAAAAACACTGCTTTTCGCCGCGGCCTATTTAAAAATTCATAAGTCGAGAACAAAAAATCCGACGAACTTGCGATTTGTGTCGAATGCGGTTTTAGAAACGGCGCCGTAACATATATTTTTTTCATCGAAATTAAAAATTCGACCCTTTTTGCCTGCACGATTTGAGATGAAACCACCCATATATATATATATATATATATATACACTGAAATGAGGTGGCCTTAGTTTGGTGCTTCCTGAATAACTAGTGCGGACTCACGTTACTTTGACCCATAAACCGACATAATACAAGCACGTAGCCGGGATTTTGTTTCGGGGCGGGGGGGGGGGGGGGGGGGGGGGGCGCTTATAACAAAATGCTGTATGAAGGAGAGCGGGGAAAGAGGGCCCCAGCGAAATGGAAGATTTCGGGGCGAAAAGAACCGAACCCTATGCCCCCCCCCCGCCCCCCCACCCCGACCCCGAGCCCCTGGCTACGCGCCTGGCATAATGTATGATGTATCAACATGTATCATACATATTTTTTTTTGACATGAGTGTGCTTTCATCTGACCGAGGCGCGGACGGTCCATTTTAGCGCCAAGCTGTTGAAATTAGAGGGAAGAGTTGGACTGTATTTTGACCCGTCCTAAACCGTTTTTCCTTGAGTCCAAGAGCAGCCGAAGTTTAGAGACGATCTGATTAATAAAGCGGCGCCAAAGGTACACTTCCACGCTGTTATTTATCATTACTGCGTTTGTGCGATTATTAGTTAAACCAATCAGGGGAGTGATTCAGCCATGACCTCGCGTTTATAGTATGTGTGTCCCTGCTTATCGCTTCTATACCTTTGTCAGCGCTCAGACTTAGGTTGAAACGGAGAATTACAAATATGTTCGCTTTTTTTTTTCACGAGGAATTCACGAATTCAAATACGAAAACGAGCTCTATCGATTTGTTTGACTATGCAGTCACGTTACTCGCGAAAGGGGAGCGTCACAGAAAAATCGTTATTTCTTTTCATTTGAGATCCTAAACACGATTGCGCGTTTTTCTCGTAGCCACGCACCACAAAGTGCGCGAAAAAAAGACCGGAGACGCGGAAGTTTTGAGAAACTTTGAACTTAGCGCCACCGCCTCTATCCAGTAAAACGGAATAAGCGTTTTCTCGTCCGAATCCACCAAAACACAGACAGACACGCCCGCACACAGCGCAAGCCCGAAACGAACCACGACAAAGCCGCGGCGGCAGCGGCAGACTGCGCGAAAGGAAGCCGAAGCAAGTTATAGAAAGGACCAAGCCGTCGTACACAAGGTAAAGAGAGGATCTGGCGGGCGGAAGATAGACAAAGGAAACAAAACTCGCACATCGGAGCAGACGAAGGCAATCCGGTTTCGCGAAGAGGCGACAATCGGATTTCGGTAATCGCGTTGGCCAGATCAGCAGAAAATATCAAAGACGCCGCTTCAGCATGCAAGCTGGCGCGGGAACGAAGCGGCCGGCAGTCCGTCCGGCCCGGAAAGCTGCCAGCGGCCGACGTGCCCCAAAGACGACAACAAACAGAGGGCGCGGAAGAGCTACTACCGCCCTGCCACCTCCGAACACAAAGGGGAGGGGACTAAGACAGACCTTGTGGCAACGCGGTCGGCCCTTGTACTCCGTTCACTGCTAAGCTAACACTGCAGTAGCAGCCGCGCATTCGCGGGACGAATCAACCGCTCCCCATTTGATCACCTGACTCTGTTCTCTGCTTAGCCTGGCTACGGACGAGAGCGTCGTCACGTGGCGAAAGAAAGACTATTGATTGGTGCAACGAGCACGTGGTTTCCTCTACGTCCTCGGTTTAGAAGTTAAGGGAGGATAGGAACTGCAACAGGCAATTGCTTACCAGTGACATCGCGCACCCCGGGTCTCCTCCAACATCCGCGTTGGACGCCGCCATCGGAGAGAGTGGGAGAGACTGAGGCAAACCTGACAAGGCTTTAACCTTTACGTGGCGTTTGGATACACCAATCAGCGGTGGCCCTGAAATCAACGTGACTTAAATCTAGGCTTATACTGTCGAGACCGGTTGTAATAAAATCGGTTATAACTAAATAGCTGCTACAGCGAAGCGATCACGATTTCCCATTTCCTTTTGCACTTCGTTATAACCGAAGTCGGTTATAACGAAATAGCGGATATAGCGAAGTGACTACCGATTCCTGATGATTTCGTTGTAACCCGTCTCGACAGCATATGTTACGAAGAGCGAACTCACGTTGTATTCGACTGAGAGCTGATTGGCCCAGCAAGCTCGCGGCTCCGACGCTGCTGTCAGTTGAGGCGTGAACGGGGTTCAGAGAGCAAAAAGAAACCTAAAGGTTATCCGCGCATTCGCGCATTCGGGGGAGGGGTTTTGCGCCTCTCAATCCGAGACGGAATCAAACCCGCTGTGTTCGGGGGCTCCCAAGCGCGAAATTGAAATGGAGAGGCAATCGGACGAAGACCGAGCGGCTTGCACGATATAGCTCTCCGACATGATTAAAAATTACTTCCTCGTGTTGCAGATGCGCCGGCTGTAGCGCGAGGATAATATTTATGCGTTTGCGGGTATTGCAATACGTTTCGAGCATTTTAAGTTCTCAATATGGATTCAAGCACCACAATTGAAACTCCCCCCCCCCCCCTCCTTCTGGATTTTTGGGTTATTAATTAATCAACTATACTTACTTGCCGCCACAATCAAATATTTTCGTCTCATTGCACTTTATCTTCTTTCATTTAACCCTACCCCGCCCGTAGGTGCGCCTGCCTTTGTTATGGGTGAATAATTTTAGAGTATTTCACCTTCCAAAATTTATCATTGTTGAAACCACATTGGCGACTAATATTCGAATCTTCATTGATTCTGGTGGAAGGAAGAGAACGTACACGTTGAGAAACTCGTTATTTTCAACTCTTAATGAACATATTGCTTGTATCTCTATGCGGTATGTAATATCTTGAATAGCACGTACCCTATGGCCTTTTTTCATTTGTAACACTTTTCTGTACATATGAATTGCATCGAGATATCCCACGTGAAACTATAAATTCTGCTTAAATGCAATCAACTGTTGGCTGTCATAACATTGTCCCGCTAATGCCAATACATCTGTTCTGTTTCTTGCAGGCTCGCCACCGGAGACAGATGAAGGTTGGTTAATTTTTTTTCTAAATATCAACTAGGGTTAGATTTTTTTTTAAAAGTACTCGTATCGTGATATGATAAAGAACACAAATTTAATACCGTGATATGACAGAAAGCACACAAACGGGTATCGACGGAGACGTGGGGAGCTATCTAATAATTATAAATGAAGCTCTTTCAAAACTTGAGATTCTTAAAAAGGTTAAGGGAACAAGAACTCCCTATAAGAACGTGTTCACGCTGCAGAAAATAAAAACACATCAATTCTGATCGTCGTTAAAAAAAGTTTGATATTTTTACATCTAGTTCCCTGTTAATTTCCAGATTTTCTCGTTTTCTTCCGAAGTGAGTAAAATTAAAGCGATATAGCCGGCTCCTTGAATACCCCTGCGATTTGTAAATTCAAATAAAAACACCCCGTAGATAATGACTGCCTCGACCCGTATGCGAAGCTATGGTGCAGCAGTTCAAAATTTGTTGCCACTGCCAATCAGTCGCGTAACCGGCCAACTCGACGTTTTCGATCATACAACGAAGACCGAAAAAAAAAAGGAAAACAGAAGCCCGTTTACCAGATGCACATTCGAAACATGTATAATAGAATTACCGATACTAACCGTATTACACCATCTCAGTTTAAGACACTTTTTTACCTATGACCGCGCATTTGTGACTAGAGCGAGTTCACCCCTATTGTCATCCTATTTGTTTTCCCAAACACTCAAGAAACCAAATTCGGTATTCATTTTTTGAGAGCTTGGCATCATCGAAGAATATTCGATCCTTTCAGAACCGAGTAAAAGGAGCATAATATTTAAAAAAAATCAAGATTATAAAACATAAATAAGACAAGGTTTATTTAAAATACTGTAGCTAAGATGTAGCGATTCTTTTTCACTAGGTGTATTTTAAATATGCTAGATGGATGGATCAATCCGTCTAACTGAAAACAATGTAGAAGAAGGGTCACTCTGACATAATTAGTGCAGTTTAATCAGATTCTATATATTGATGTAAACCCAGCCATACTAAAACAAGAAAGAGCTTGATTTTTTATCGCTAGTTATAAAGCTTTATTTGCTTCTTATCTCTCGTTCTGATTTGCTTGCACTAGGACCTTGGATAACGGACAAGCTTGGAAAGAAATCTCAATGCTCCGATTCGCTTAGAACAGCACTGATTTTTTCTCACTCTCAGCCCAGTATAAATCTTCCTTGGTTAATAAATATTTTATATAAATACAAATCATATATGCAGTCATCAAATAATAGACAATCGTTAAATAAAGAATATTTTCTTAATATTATTTTTGTGGGAAAGGTTTGATTTAGATTACCACTGTAAAACTGCAATGAGTTAAAACATCTTGCCTTTTTATTCTTCATTCCGATTTATAAACCAAGTAACGCACGAATAATAGTAGTATAATGAAATTCATGAAAAAAGGAACTGCAGGGAGCAATAGGCAAACACAATAGAATGACCCGCTCACCGATGAATATAGTTGTGTTTTTAACCTTCAGATGAAAAGTACAAATTAAACGTGACAGACCATCCCATGTTAAGTACGAAGCAGTGACACATCTAAGGACGAATATAAAGTATATTCTGAAGTGTGCTTAACAATTTATGATTTAGGATACTCCTCGCGCCTAATTGTTTCGTTGCTTCTTATACTTCTCGACAGATGGCAGCAACTCGAGCCAGAACAGCAAGCCAATATTATGGCTCGTCTTTCTGTGCTTGTACTTCGGACTCTCTTAGCCGACCACAAGTTTTCCTATTGAGGTAAGAAGCCGTCACCTCGCGTCACTGACGAACAACGGTGTCTTAAAGGGCCCATGAAACGAATTCGGAGCTGGGATGAATCAATTTAGATTGGGATTTTATTAATAGCACGTCGTTCAGTGGGCCAAAAGAAAAAAAAAGTACGAAGTCAAAAGCCTGACATTCGGTACGAAAATTTCAGAACTCAGCGGACTATTTCGTACCTCCTTCCCTTCGTAAACTCTCTGCCTTTTCGCTGTGATACATCCGCGCTTCACAAAGCGCGTCACCGGGTACAAACGCACGGCACATGACACCGGACCTCACTTATTCCCTTCACTCCTAAGCTGACATTGTAGTGGAAGCTAGGCGCATGGTGGACCAATCAGCCGCCTTCCTTTCTTCACCTGACTTCATTCACTGCGCTCTGGTATGCGCTAGAGAGCGTGATCAAGTGCTAAATGTGTGGCTGGCGCACCGAGCACGTAGCTTCCACAGCACTGTCAGCTTTGGGGTGAACGGGGTGGGGGAAAGCAACTTTTGTGTGAATTTTGAGCGACGGGCTAATTTTCTAGGGGGATAATGGCTCTGTCCGGGTGCACAAACGAGAGTCCGAGCAAGAAAGGACTCCGCCCTTTCCGTCTTCTTGAACTGTTTGGTAGAATGCGCGATTTATGAGTTAAGGAGGAAAGCTAAACAGGAAAAAGTTGGAAAAGCGTTTCATGACCCCTTTAACCTAGAGTTCACGAGATAAAACCCTGCAAGGAAAGAGAAAAAATTTAAATACTGACTCTGCATCACGTTTTGCGCAACACACTGAGGTGCACATTTTTGTTTGTATTTAACTTCATTGTACAGCCCTCATTTTTAAACCGAGACAGGAGTTTTCAAGTTTTATGACAGGTGATCTTGAGCAGGCCTTGCTCCCTTTCCAAAGCATGGGCATGCGCGTGCTCAATGGGAAAAGGGCATGCTTGGCTGTGTATTCCTAATTTCTTTTTAATGATGTATAGTAAGGCTCAGCACACGCGTGAGATCTTAGCTTTGCAAACTGCTTTCTTTGCAAAAACTTTGGCCCAAGAAAAGACTCACATTTCGCATTCATCCGGTCGTAAAGGGGTTCCCGGTAACGCCGCACAGATGTTCACTCGAAATTCGTTACAACGAAGAATTACTGTTGCCAACAAAAACCTTTCCATTGGAATCTTTCTTTCTCAGAACAGGCTAAAATGAAGTTGAAATGAAATCGTATTGTATTATGTCGTTATATTGGGTGCTTTATTTTAAATAAAACGATTAAGAAACCAGTGCTTACTTAACAAAAAAAAATCATGTGAAGATCTTAACATTTCGAAGGACTTTCTTAAGATCGTTCATTAACCTCGTCAAAATGAGGAGAGTTCGTTCTCCCGCCAACCATATTAATATAGGATGTTATGAATCGAGAGGCTCGCTTTGAAATCAGTTATAAAAATTGGAGCCTGGAAGTAAGCATAACTTCAACTTTCCACAAATATGTTTCTTGGCGGAGCATTTCAACTTGTGAAATTTCAAGGAATAGCTTCCTTCCAGGAAAATAGGCCAAAAACTAACGTTCACACGGCGGACGCCGAAGCAGACAATCGAATTAAACCAAGGGTAAAAAACCTAGGTCGGAGAGACGAACCAACTGAAATCATTAAAAGACTCTGCAATTTAATGGCGGACTCCCTCCACTTAGCTAAATTGTCAGTGCGCGTGTGTTGCGTTGTTGCAGCGCGAGCAGGAAAGCGGCAATAAAGGCGGAGGTGCTTACAGACGTTTGTCACTTCCTCGCAGCTGGTATTGCAAACGTGACCCATGTACCACGTGACATCATTTGTCGGGTTCGAAGCTCTAAGAAGTTTGGGCACTCTAACCAGGGGTGGCGCTTGTGGCGCCATCCGCGTTGCAGGTTTGCTGCGTTAATCACCAGATGGCGCCGTAATGCTGCAGCCTTAATGATTTCAGCAGATATATATATTTTTTTTACCTTTGACGATTTTTGCTTTTGCAGGTACCAAAGAGCGCGGTCCCTAGCTGAGATTCCCCAAGAACCGCTAAGAACGGACGCCCGGTCAACTGGAAACCACCTACCAACAGAGGGCGAATTTACTACTTGCTGCATTATTGTGCGTTTCCCTCGCTTAAAAAAAGAAAACAAAGGAACACTTCTAGAGCTTACGCAATACTTTATAAACAGCAGAGTCATAAGTTACTTATAAGGCAATCAAGTCGAACCTTCTACAAATGAAAACAAAAGTGTCCTTCTCACCTTGGCAAGTTCAAGTGAAGATTTTCCGATGATTTAAAAGGGCTGTGTAAATTGGAAATGTGCATGGCGCGGCAGAGTTAGCACATCAAGTTTATCGTTTGTTTTCCTTTGAGAAACAGTAGGCTGACATAATTGCTATCACTGTGACAGACAGTGCTCATTTGGGGACCAGCCTAAGTCGAGACTTCGGCTACCGATAATAACCTGTGCGATCTCGGTACTGTATAACCAATCGTTAAAATGAAAACAAAGCGAAAAAAATCAGCTGATATTGAGTCTGTGCTAACTGCGTCGCGCAATGTAGCTTTCGTTATGTCGCTGTTATTGCTTTATTGTATCTAAAACGGCATCGGGATCGATGTTTTAATTGCTTGTTTTACGTTTGTTTACTTTTGCATATCATAGTGACGTATTGACAAATCCTTAACTACGGCTATAAAGTGACTGTCGACTTGACGTATTGACAGCTTTCTAACCGTACAGTCTGCCAGAAGTCCCTTCAAGTATTTTAACCCTTATGTATCTGCAACGCCAACCACTGGATTTAAACCAGTAAGGAGGGAAAGTCTGAAACTGCATTCTTTTCCTAGTGGCTGAATGTTGCAAAGTAAGGTGATTGACCTATCGGATGGATCCTGGGGCACTACTGTTGCAATCAATTCTGAGAGATCAAGATTTAGTTGTTTAAGGGGTATTCACACGAGGGAGAAATCCCGGGGATTTCTCCCCGGCACGCGCGCATCACGAGATAAAAACGCGAGGCTTTTGCACATAGCAAAGCCTGACGTTTTCGTCGTGGGATGCGCGTGCCGGGGAGAAATCCCCGGGATTTCTCCCTCGTGTGAATACCCCTTTAAACACGGGAAACGACGAAATAAAAATCAAATATACTGTTTAAGTTATATTTTCTTTGATAGAGGAGAGGTTGAGGTCATATGCCTTTCAGGCCATCCGTATCCCCACATTTTATTCGCGGGAACTTTATGGCCCTTAATTATGAGTTCCAAACTATATTATTTTTCAAAAGCACGATTTCACACGCACAAACAAATAAACGATGTGCAAGGCACTCGTATAGTATTTATTTCTGTAGAATCAAGGAACAACTATTTTATGTCCCAGCAGGCCTAAATCGGTTAGCAACATCCTACAAACAAAATAATGCCTGTGGAGATGTTTTACATTCATATCCCCATTTCTGACGGCACTCTTTATTCCTGAAAAGCTGTCTTTTACGCGCATAAAAACATGGAATTTTCTGTACTTAAAATACTGCGGACATTTCGGTGTACGCAGGAGAGGAAACATAAAAACGCATATTAAATACATAATCACGCACCAGGCATCAGGGGTGGTGCGTGATTACCGGGCGTGACACCATCAGTTCGCGAGTTTACAAAGTTTAAATACCAGACGTATGACGATACTATGAACAGGGAAAGCAGAATAAAAATATCTGGAAGCAAAAACAACCAATAAACTCAATCTGATCATACTACAGTTTTCTAGCCCGCTTTGGTAATCTGCCATGTAGCGTAATTTATCCTTTCTCGATTGATTTAATGGTTTTTAGGATGACTAATTAAAACATTTAAGTAATCAAAGAAATGTTTGCTTTTGTATATTGAACACAGCGGATATAGCTTTCGTAGATTCAGGTAAACAGTTTTTTTATTCCCCAATATACGAACGCGAGAATTGTGCCAGAGCCCATTTTGCATCTTTCCCATAAGTGGTTCATTCAAATCTTACGAATAGCTCTTTATGTTTTCGAAGGCCTTGAAGTAGAATGCAAGAGTTTCGTGCAGGTGTTTTAAAAGATACCAGTGCGAAAATTTCGAAAATGCATTCGTTGCAGGAGTTCTTTTGTAAACAAAACCTGTTTTTTTGGCCACTTTCTCAAACCTGTGCCTTTGATCACATTGCACACTGCTCGTGAGATGAAGTATTAAGTGCAGGTCATAAACTACCACGGAACTATCGATTGTTACTTCCGCGACACTGAAGAGCCGCAACAACTTGTCAACATTTTTTGCGGTTAAGGTTGCTTTCACTTCTCACATTGAAATGTTTTTTTCTTCATGTTTTGAGAGCCCCTGACTACTGCTTTTATGTCCTTCAGACGGTGACAATGTAAGAAGAAAAGGGTGCGGCAAGCAGCAAAACAACATTTTTAGCAGCCTATGAGATTTCAATATTAACATATAAGAACTCATAATTAATCACCCCTTCTTTTATTAGGCTGTCAATGACTCTAACAACTGATACGTGAACAAAGAATGGGCGTAATAAGTTCTGACATGCTGATGATATAATTTCTACATCTGGTGTATGACCTGTGACTGCTGTCGCTTCCGCTACTGGTTGAATTTTTGTACGTTAAGAGTGGCCACACTCTCCTATTGTTACGGGGCCGCTATTTACTCTCGCACATCCTTTGTAGAGCGTGACGCAACGCAGATGACGTGACGGTGGCCTACCTACTTACACCCAGAATGTATGCCCACGGTTGCTCGATCAAAAACAATGTACGGCGCGCCGCTTCGTATCGCCGCACATAGGCAGAGGCGAGATTGATCAGCTTACACGACTGGATGCATTGGTGGTAGTAGTTCCGGGCAATCCAGACGAAGGGCGCTGCTGAGCAGCGCCTGAGAAATAATGATCAGCGCAGAGATACCACGGAACAAACCAAGCAGCGCTTAGCAGTCACTGACCGCTGGCGCCGCGGTGGTTGCTCGGGGTGCTAGGCGCGTATCGCCGTTCTGCGTTTCAAATCGAGCGGTCGTGGTATGCCACGCACTGGGAATAATTTCTCGTAAAATATGCAACGAAGCAAATTGCCAGTGCCTCTGCTTTGTACAGACGTGTATATTGTATACAACTAGTCACAACGTGAATCTAAATAGCATATGAGAGTTATTTATGCTGAACAATAACTGATTTCTAGTTGATGAGTCACTGTAGAGGCATGTCTTCTTGATTTGCGCCAAGATAACTGGGTCCTCTTACAGATCTGAACCTGCGTCGCTTACCGATATGTTCTCTAGCTCAAACTCTTTTATTATTAATCGGTCACAGAAAAGAAACATCTGTTTTTCTACGTAAGCTCATATCGTCTTTTTTTTTTTTAAGCTACTTCGTCTTGTGTTGCTTTGCTTACTCTTTACAGTCTCAATCCTGAAAGAATTTGCCCTAGTCAGGCTTTAGTAAACGATCTTACGTTTCGTTAAAAAGTCTGTGCGCACTTAAACTGTGTGTCCGTATTCAATCCTTGTTTGCCAGAGCCAATGCTTTCCACTGCTGTTTGTGTTTCATGCGTATTTCCGTTGTATTATTTTATGTCATGTTTTTTTTCTGTAATAAAATGAAGTGCACCGACCGTGTCTCTTTCTTGCTCAAGCACGGCAAATTGTCCGCAAGGACTCGACATTTTCTCAAACTGGGCTGCGCGCATATTTCTTTTCCGTGATGTTGACCAAAGCTGTACCGCCCTATTCTCCAGACCGTATTTGCAAGGCTCAAATTTCACACTAAAAACTCGGTCTGCAGACATAAAGACAGGAATATGTGTGGACACGCCTCAAGCTTCTTCTATGCAAGCTTGCTTCATACATGAGTAGGCTATTTAAGTGCATGCCTGCGGGCAGTTATGACCAATGGCATACAAGGACGCCTCAGACAGTATGTGCGCACTGTCTTTCGTGGGATGCGTTACCGATGTGACCGCGGCTTTTATTTTAGCATCGGAACAAGAGACGACAAAACAAATCACCCAAGAAACAGGAAAGCCGAGTAAAAGAAAAAAAAATTCTTATGTTCTATGAAGGTTTTTTTAATGCCGATTTTTTTAGTGATTGCGCTCCTTTTTTACCGTAACATTTATACTGTTCTAAAATTGCGCTAAAGCATGGACAATGTAGCTAACTTTCAGCTGGAAGGACATGTGATTCATACTGCCGCATAGTTTGCGTTAACCTCAATCTTACCCACCATCGCCGTGGTCGACGAACTTAATAACGTTACCTAAAATGTCCGTAAAAAAAAACAAAAAAAAACAAAACAACATAGTTGGCATTTGTAACTGGTAATCAATAAAAAGTATGTATGGACACAGCAGAAAGTTTTGTGGTTGTGGCCCAGTGCTTGGCTCTAGAGAGAGGCACATAGCAGTCGGCGCGCCGATACCTACAAAAAGTTTTTTACGACTCAAAGCAAAATGAAAGCCGAACGTTTTCTCGAATTTGTATTTTACTAATCAAAATGGCATTCTAGAAAAAAAAATATAAAACAACTTTCTCGGGAAAACGAGAATGAAGAACCGTTATTACTAGTTCTTCATATAAACAGTATTGGCTGTCATGCGTAGGAATGTTTTCCGTCCACGAGCAACCGATAGCAGCAGATTGTTACTAAAATACCGTGCATGTATCAAGAAAAAACTATTTTGCTATAGTATTGACGATTTTGTAACTACAGAATATCGGACCTATTCCTTCAGGTGATCTGGCCCCGCCAGAGGCATTAGGAAGACAGCAACACCAGTAAATTTCAAAATTAGTGAGACATTTCAGCTCAACACACCTACGGTCCCTGAAAAGACCAGGAACGCGGGGTGTCTCTTTCGAACGTGCGACCTTTGGGACACGCTGATTGCCTTCCGTCGTGCTCTAGCTGCGCCTGCGGAATCGAATCTTTCGAGACGTCGTAGTGCCATCGAAGATAGGAAGCTCGCGCTGCAGGCAGGTCAATAAAAACAATATAATTGCCGTTCTTCTTCTGTCAGTGGCTATAGAGTCACTGATAAAAGGAGAAAGGCAGGGTCTTTTTTTTTTTTTTGAAAGGCCGGCCTCTCACATGCGGCCTATGCCTTCCGCCGTGCTCTGAGTATGCTCGCACGTTCGAAGTGCTCGAGCATAGCCTCCTACGTACTGGCAAAGCCTGGCAGATGGCCGCGAGAAGTGGCCGCCGAAATTGTAAAGGTGGAGCGGCAGACAACGGATTAGAGGAGAGTCTCATGACTGGCGCCCCGCTGCGGCGAGACGCCGAAACACACTTCTCCCGAGCGAACAAGTGTGTTTCGGGCCCTCGCCGCAGCAAAAGCTATGTGCTGATGTCCAAGTTCCCCTAGAAATGGCTATATGATGCTCTGCCCTACTTGATCCTCGCGCTCCAAATCTGCGACCGGGCACTCTATTTCTCTGTTGTTGAACTGCCAGGAATTGCGAGTATAGAGGCAGTGGCGCCGGAAGTATTTCTGAGGTGGTGGGGGGGGGGGGGGTGGGGGGCAACGGAATCGGGGTGGGGTGGGGGGGATGAAGCGTCTAGAACAATATAGATATATAAAATCGAAACGCTCAGAAACGTTTATTTAGGACGAATATATGTCCTTCCTCTTTCGGAATGTGGTGATCTTCAAGCAGCGTGAAATAAGAAAGAGCTCACTGGTGCCGGAAAACGGTTCGTCGTTCAGCCGTCCTCGACACGAACTCTTTGTTGATAGAGTTCAGATCAAGTTTTGCTGCTCGCTCACTATCTACGTACAGCAGCATCACCTGAGTCAGTCGCTTTCGTGACATGGTAGCTCTGAGGTAATTCTTGATACGCCGAAGTGCGCTGAAACTTCATTCAGCTGATGCCGCTGACGCTGGCACTGTCATTATAAGTGCCGCAAGGCGCATCACCTCAGTCATCGTCCTCTTGACCTCTGGGACTTGTCTGCCCAGGGCACGGCAAAACTCGGGTACGGAGCCGATCTGACCACTTGAGAGCGAGTAAACCATGTTCAGCTGCCTTGAAAGGCTTTCCAGGTGGAAATCAGTAGCGTGGGATCCTAACTTCCTTTCAAGTTCTTCTGCAGTTTGTGGCTTCTCCTGAATAGCGCACAAAATTATTTGCTCTAGTTGTGCGAGACTTTGCATCCCTGGTTGCTTGAATCGTCTTGCAAGCTCGGCTTGAACACGGAGACAAGCCTTCAGAAGCAGTTCTATAGAACTGCTTCCGAAGGCTTGTCTCCGCGTCTACACACTAAAAATTTTAACACCCATGTTCGTGTTAAAAGGGTGTTTTTCCGAGCTCACACCCTTCCTACACCATTTTTACATGATTTTTGAATATTCAAGGGTGTACGGAAAGGCCTACACCCTTCGTACATCCTTTTTACACCCTACGGCTACCGAAATCGTGTTAAGAGGGTGTTGCGGTGGTACACCTATGATTTCCGAATCGTCGAACTCGGAAACCGCCGAATTGCAGACATAAGCGCCGACAGCAGAAGTCAAGAAGCAGCCTGCTCAATTTAGAGGATTTCGTGAAGTTCAAGTAAGCACAATGGGCAGCTGACATCCAAGCCAAGCCAACGCTCAAGTTGTTTTCAAGCCAGATGAATGCCGGCGTTGTGTACAAGCTCCTTGGTTGTTTACGTGCAAGCGACCACGAAAATATCATCGGTTACTCACGCACTTCTGCTCAGAATGGTGAGACCACATCGGTTCTATTATGATACATTCCGTCTCATCCTGAGATGTACTAAAGCGAAGGCTAGACGTGCCAGACGGTTCGGGCTCACAGCTTTACCGTGAGCCTGTACCGTAAAGGTCGGTTCCGACACTTGCGTTTGAGTGTGTTTGTCTGCGTTGCGTTTAGAACCGAAAACGAGTCACCGGCACATCTGTGCTTCGTATGAAGCGTGGATTCCAATTCAAAGAATCATCTTGGCACGCGATATAAGCAGCAGGGATGTCCTGGTTTCTCGCAGCCGCAACGCGGTCAAACGCAACTGTTTGAACCAGGCTTTACGTGGTTGTCCTGGGCTTGTCCCTCGCGCTTTATTCTTTCGATTTTAAGTATTCATTTTCAACTCGCTCGCTTTTACCAGTACTAGTAGATACTCAGGCTGCACGAGGGTTCGTGCAGTGCGACCATCTAGCGATGCTATGAGCTTGTGCTCGAGCCTTGGCTTTAATGCATCTTAGTGGGGAAGGCAATCATCGGGGATATATGACACACGATGATGCCAAGTCTGTTCACGGCGGACTCTCGTGCTGTTCTGATTGGAGGAGAAGGGGCGTGTAAAAAATTGGCAAATGGAACATGGTTAGCGACAGCGCAAATATATGTTGGAAAAAGTTCAGAACGTTAAAGTGCAGCAGCCTGAAACTTTGGAGTTAAGCAATTAGAGAATCATTTGAAGACATCTTTAGAGGTTCAGCCTTCTCTCCCCCCACACCAATATCGAAGGCTGCTAGGATATTGGTTCAGGCTAAGCCCTCTGTCTTTCAGTCAGCGAACTTGAGCCGTTCCACCTGACCTTGTTATTTCATAACAGATATGTTAGAAAATGGAATGCAGATTTTCTTTACACGGCCAAAACATAAAGTGTTATCAAATAATACCTGCCATATTCATATTCTACATTTACAGACCGGGGCTGCCCCGCCTGTGGAGGGTGAAGATGCGAGCAGCCTCGAAGCCCACCAACAGTGGCTGTGTGCTGAGAGCGAAAGCTGGTGCCTGACGAAGGCCAGATTGATCTTCGAAAGGATGCGACTGCCTGCAAATGGCTACATGTGTTGATATTGATGGGCATATAGACTGCAAAGAATGCTTATCCCTACCTGATGGATGCTAGGAGGGTATGCATTCCATATTTTTTTACTGATCTCTACAACAATTGCTAAATTGCGCTTCCCCGCTCCGTGATTGCGGCTGCCGGACGACCATCTTGGGACACGGAAAATTAACCTTTTGGAGCGTTGCAGAGGCTGGTCGGCAGCGTGCTGCAGACATGTTTTTTGCTCGTTTGTCGTCATTGGGAGCGTTAAAGTGGCCCTGCAATAACTTTTGGACTGGTTTTTAATTTGGACCGAACCTGAGCGCACTGAATGTAGTAATTTAAAGAAACTTTTCTCCAATTTCGCTTTATTTTAAAAGTTATAGGCAAATTAGACTTACAAAAACAAGCAAAAAATAACATCCTTCATGACGTCGTAGGTCCTGGTTTGAGTGGCCGTGAAGTAGTGAGCTCATCGAGCGCTCACGGCTGCCGCACTCAGTGTCGACGGCTCGAGAGGGTGCCACTAAAGCACGTGTTGACCAGGCTGTATGAAGTGGGCGGCCAGGGCAGCTCGCATTGCATTTGCCGCGCGATTAAAGACTAATTCGGCATAACACTTCATTGGCCACAAACGACGGTAAACACGGGGTAAAGATCAGTTCAGGATGGGAGCCACTTCGCGCTGCCATACCGCCAAAGGGTCAAATCGCCAGCCAAGCCCGCGCCGAAAGCCTTGGGAACGCTCGGAACCGGTCGGATCCTCGAGCCAGTATACGACCGCAGTGCCACCGCGTACATCCGGGACCTTTCTAAGCCCATTGTTCGTC